TTTTCATGACAAACTGGGGAGATTATTGAGCAAAGAAGAAGTGCCTGCCTGGGTCGATTGATGGGGAGTGATCAGATCTAAAATTGGTGGTGTGATTTGCATGATGGATGAATGAAAAATAAGTTGTTTGGATCAGATGGGGTTATTTTTTTCTAGCACATTGATGAGAGAATGGATGATTTTTTGCATCTTCATGATAGGGACGAATGGATCCATAGTTTAGAGAGTTGATACGATACCTATTTGCTCATTTTGGTCTGTAGTTGGTGAAAAATACACGACTATTGAAAGATTTGGATTTAGAATTGCAAATGCGATTGGGTGATGTGATATTTGTATAATGATTTCAGTATTTGGGTCTCCATCAAATCCAATCCACCACAGTGGAACTATATATCCTTATACGCCTCGTAGTATCCCTAAGCCTTACGACTAGTCGTCCCTCCCTCGTTTACGCTTGTGTCTCGGTATCGGTGGCACCCGTGAATAGTTTCTTTCCCTTCCTAGTAATCACTATTACACCTGGGCAATTACCGTTCTCTGAAAACCACCCAATTAGACCATCTAAAATGGAAGGCACTAATGCCATCGTACCTGACGTTTTACCACACTAAGTCGTAATCAAAGTATCAACAATAAGTACCCAGATAGATTGGAATGAACCTTTTACACCATGTACATACTCACCAACTATTCATTATTCTTTGAATCTGCTCAATTCTTTACACTCTTTTGAATACACGTTCTTAAACATCCATTCTTTCACCACGCTCTTTTACACCTACCTATTTGTTTACTTGTAATTCATTGAATAGCCTCCACTTGAGCGCTTACCTACATATATTCTTTTTCCTTGTAGCCTTTTCTTGGAGTTGAAACTTCTGCAGGTGCTTAATATATCATTCCATACCTAGCAGTACATGTACTGGCTGGCTCACAGACATCGATTCCAATCCCTTGCAAGCTCCCGCTGTCAAAAGAATCAAACTTCGTCCATCAAGCGTTGAGATTTGAGGGTTGGACTGCGGCGTGGAGGGACCGTACGGAGGGATAGGAATAAGGATAAGAGGGGTCGAAATCAAGATTTGTATCCTGGTCGTTTCGTGCGAAGACGAGGAATTTATATTTAGAGCCGTCTTGCAATTGGTACTTTGATCCCACCCTTTCGATTGCACAAACGAGTATTCGGAGCCAAGGTACTCGGATACGTCATTTTCTGGTTTTTGAAGGTGTGATAGGATAGGATACTTGGGTGTACGATACCTAGGATACATGCTTGGTGATTTGGTGGAGGGGTAGTTTTTGGAGGGCTGAAGAGGGATTTGGATGATTGATTGATTGAACGCCTTTTCTGAGTGTTATTGAAGGGTTCCTGCTCCACTGCCTGTTTACCTGGGAGATTTCGTCTGGGGTTCATTTACTTGACTGGTCGTCGGCTTTTCTCCATAATTGCAACTTTGAACTCTGACTTGGAAAATTGGACCTGGGAAGTTTGGTCTTGGTTTAGAAGGGATTGAGTGATTGGTATTGAAACGATTTGTTTGGGAAGTTTCTGACCAACCATATCCATTCACATCAGATCGGAGGAGAATAATCATATCAAACGAGACCAACCAGGCCAATTCAACCAAGTCGAAGAAATCTTGCTTCATCTTACCCACGATATCAAGGAATAATCTGTGGCGATCCAGGATCCTTGATTCTATTATACCTTTACCTTCCTCTGGCTTGTTTTTGTTTGTTTTGATACTTCTTTTTCTACGAACTTGTGTTGAGATACAAATTTACGGAAGTGAATAAGAGTTTTACGACTTTACGAATTGAACGACAACATATTTTGAGGACGAATTCATAATGAAGTGCGAAAAAGCACAGGACAAGATGAGTTCTACCAAGTCGCATCGATCGCGAAAATCCTCCTCAATGTCCAGAAAACTCCTGGCTGCTAGCATCTGTCTTGCCATACTTCCTATTGCAGATGCTCATACATACTATCGCAATAGAGCTACCTGGAAACCAAATTGGGACCCCAATCGACCTGTTCGAAAAGGTCCGCCTAAGAAGAGAGATGGAGCAATTCCACTGGTAATAACCAACATGTGTCCTGAAACGATATGGCCTGGAATTGGTACTCAAGCAGGAACTGGTGCTGGAGTCGGAGGATTTCCACTTAAAACTGGAGAGAGTAAGTCCTTGACAGTCAGTGCCGATTGGCAAGGAAGAATTTGGGGACGCACCAATTGTAGTTTTGCGGTTGGAGGTGATGGAGCTAGTAACGCTGCCGGATATGATGGTTCTGGTTCTGCTTGTGTTACTGGTGATTGTGGTGGTCTCTTGGATTGTTCTATCACTGTAAGTCTGTTCAATATGATTACATGCGGATAGTCACTCACTGTTATAGGGAGAGACTCCTGTTACTCTAGCAGAGTTTGATTTGGCGGGAAATGGAGGTTCTCAGACTTTCTACGATATTTCTCTAGTGGATGGCTACAATATCCCTATGGGAGTTGTATATATTCCTGGTGAAAATGCCGCACTCCAGGCCATTCCACCGAATCTTGTAAATGCCGCTTGTATCGCCTCAACCGGTTATCTCGCGCCCCCGGCTACCACAGGTACAAATGGCAACTCCTCAAATTCCACTTACCCCATTCCATTAGAGAGCACAGTTACCAACGACGCAGCTATGAGTTGGTGTCCATGGAACCTTCAAAAAACTCCACCTGACAAACCAGGTGATGGCGTCTACCCTTACCCGGACGACAAAATCCAACGTCCGACATTCGATCCCTGTCTTTCCGCCTGTGCTAAAGATAACAAGGCGTCGGATTGCTGCACAGGTGCTTATGATCAACCTCAATTATGTCCTCGCAATGATTTTGCAAATGCGGCAAATACCATCTGTCCAGATGCATATGGTTATCCGTTTGATGATCAAACTTCCACGTTCGTTATTCCTACAGGAGGTGGATGGGAAATTGTGTTTTGTCCGATAGGAAGGAGTACGAATATTTTGAAGGTATTAGGGGATCAGATGAGGAAAATAGCTAGTGCGGGGAAAGTCACAAAGGATATTATTGAGACCGCGATGAACGAGACGTATATTAATGAAATGGCGGTTAAGAGTACGGCGGGAGAGGGATTGTCGGAGAAAGCGAAATTGGGGAGCTGGGGGGCGTTGGTGGGAGTACTGGTTTGGGGAATTTGGTTGTGTTGATATTTTGATAATGGAAGGGGAGCGGATAGATTGGGATAGATTGGATTGGATGATTGGACGGGAGGATGGAGATGGGAGATGGAGATGCATGCTATGTGGCGTTGAGATACCCTTATTATTGTGTACTTGATTTTTATTTGCTTTCGTCTGGTGGATGGATGGTATGGTATAAGATGAGATAAGATGAGATGAGAAGATGAGATGAGATGAGATGAATGACGTACCTCAGTTTTCTTATGATACCTTTACCTATTAGATACCTATTATATTACATATTCTCATTCCTGTCCAATCCTATCATGTTAATCCCTCGAATCTGACCACTTGAACAAAAGTAGATGTTGTAATGATAAGGAATGAATGAATACGAGTAAATGAATGAATGTAACGTGAGAGATCATCCAATCATTCAATCATCCAATCATCTAATTCCATAGGTATATGGATAACCTACGATACAAGGGAAACGAAAAACGGAAAACGGAAAAGCGGTTATCGGCAGGGGCACCGCGTTTCCTGCTTTCTGCGGTTAGAAGGGTTGAGGATTTGATTGGTGGATTGGTGTGGTGTGGTATGGGTGTATGGGTGTATTGGTGTATGGGTGTATTGGTGGGTGTGGTGTGGTGTGGTATGCGTTTGAGATTGAGATTGAGATGCTGCAGAGGACCCACCCCACTTGTAGGTGTGGATTTGGATTTGGAGGGTTGTGTGAGGACTGTGAGGACTGTGAGGACTGTGAGGAGGGAGGGAGGGGGAGAGTGAGGTTTGGTTTGGTTTGGTTTGCTGGTGGGGTTTGAGGTTTGGGTTGAGGGGGGAAGGGGAGGGGGAGATGGGATGGGGAGATGGGATGGAGATTGGTGGATTGGTGGATTGGTGTGAGAGGGAGGGGGGGTATGTGTGTGTGTGTATCTAGGTAGTGAATAGTAAATAAAAAATAAAAGAATACAGATTTAGATGGATGGATAGATAGGTAGGTAGGTAGGTAGGTAGGTAGGTAGGTAGGTAGGTAGTTGCAAAAGGAGGGTTTTTATTGAAAGATTTATTGGTAGAGGTGGACGGGGGATGAGAGGAGGGCGGTTTGGGTTTATCTGTGCGGAAACGACGGGATAGTGTAGCAATGGCATAGAATGAATAGAATAAAATACAAAATGACACACTAGGTGATATTGAATATCAAATCAGCATGTGAAAATGTACGAACCTTGAAAAGAGGAATAGGAATAGGAATCGGAATCGGAATACTGTTCCCTCTGTCTACGGATTGGCGAGAGAGAGAGAGAGGAGGATTAAATGCATGGGAGTATGGTATCGTGGTATCTTACATATGTATGTATACATGCGATACGACGCTACGGTGTCGTGGATACGATATATGCGAGCATGATGTTGATACTGATACTGATACTGATACTGATACTGATACGTTCGTAGAATTCAGATAGACGCCCATGTTATGTTATGTCTTGGATATATGCATGGGTATATGTGTAAGGGTGTGTGGGTGTGTGGGTTGCCACGGGAGGGTATGCAGCGAATAGGAAGGGAAGAGCAGAGGGAAGGAAGGTGGAGAATTCTTGTGATACTTGTTCCTTGAATCTATGATATCTGGTGTTTGGAATTTGGAGATTGGAGATTGATTTTGTGATTTTGTGATTTTTTTTAAGGTTTGGATTGATTTGGATTGGTTTGGTTTGGTGATTGTTTTTGAGCTTTGGTTTCGGAGCTGATTAGGGTGTTTGGATTTGGTGTCAGAGGGAAAAGAGAGAAAGAGAGAAAGAAAGGTATGCTGTGTGCTCTCTGTGATAGTATTAATGTGACCGATCTTATTCTCCTGGCCAAAGCCAACTGGGAAGCCCTCCAACATCGTCAGGAAGCAGAATCCTATGTTCCCCGCCGCTTCAACCATCATGCTAGATACGATGAGATTGTATCTGCCGCCGAAGCCGGCTGCGAGCTTTGTAAGGTTGTGGAGAGAGCGTTAGATGGGGGGGTTGTGTTGGAGGGAGGGATTATGAAGACGTATAAGGCGGAGATGCTGGAGATAGAGGGAGAAGGGGGGAGGGGATTGCATGTGGAGATTCAGGTAGAGGTGAAGAGGGGTGCTGATGGGGAGTTGGAGAAGGATGGTGCTTATGATAAGTTGGTGTTTTATTTGAGGGGGAGGAGTGAAAAGGTGGTTTTGACGTTGTCGTTGCAGAAGCGGAGAGGTAAGCTACTTACTTAGCTGTTTGAATATCAAGAGAGATCACTGATGTATGATTGTCTTATTTGATATAGGGCAGGTGAAATCAGTTGATGGGATAGAGATTGGGCATTTTGCTCTTGATCCTAACCTGGGATCGGAAACGAATTTCGAGATTGCTCAAGATTGGATAAATACCTGCAGTTCAACGCATTACGAATGTCCGATGATCCAGGATAGACCGTTACCCACGAGAGTAATTCATGTTGGATCCGACGCCCAGGAACCATATCTTCTATCGACGCATGGTATGAAGGGCAAATACATTGCACTAAGCCATTGTTGGGGTGGTAAAATCAGTGATCTCTCCAAGCTCAACAAAACGACTGCGAAATATTTTGGCAAAAAGATTGCTCTGATGGGCTTGCCGCCGAATTTCCGAGATGCGATTCTCATTACTCGAGGACTGGGATTCCAGTTTATATGGATCGATTGTTTGTGCATCATGCAAGACTCGAGTGAAGACTGGGAAGTAGAATCTAAACACATGGGAGATGTATATCGCGATGCGACCTTAACCATTGCAGCTGCCGCCTCATCGAACTCTACCGACGGCATCCTGAAAGTATTTCCAGACTACGATCTCACAGGTCTCAGCATCAGTTTAAAACTATCCAAAGATAGTCCACCGGAAGACCACATCGATCTTGTGCTCCGAGACAATCATCGCGAACAGCTCGATCATCTGCTACAGGACGGACCGCTCGCAGACAGAGGATGGACTTTCCAAGAGGAGATTTTGTCCGCGAGGACCTTGTATTATGGACGAATGCAGATTTACTGGCAGTGTCTCCATGACCATGCATCAGCCGATGGTCTGCGCTCACGAGCTCCTTTTTATCAACGCGCATTTCGCTACGAAAGAATTAGAGATCAGATACATGAGCCGCAAGGACTCAAGAAACCTAACACCATAAAAAGCCCCTACGTTTTCGTCGATAAAGATCAAACACCCTCAGCGATACAAAAGCGTACCAGCGCCAACATAATCGTAGAATATCACAAACAGATGGTGGTAGACTATTGTTCACGACACCTCTCATTTTTGCGAGATAAATTCCCCGCCTTTTCGGGTATCGTTACGCTGGTTCGCCATATCTTGCAAAGCAATGGGTATCCCAGCTCGAAATATGTAGCAGGGATTTGGACTAGTCATTTTCGGGAAGGATTGGTGTGGTATTATGGGGATGATGCAGTTCCTTCTGTTGAGAGGGCACCTACTTGGTCGTGGGCTACGACGAATGGGAAAGTAGTGTTTCACCCATCGACTTTCGCAAGCAATCCTTTCCAATCCACATCTATTGATCCTGAGCTCTTGTCCCACCATGTGGTGCTTGCGGGGCAGAATCCTTATGGCGAGATCAAGGATGCACGGTTGGAAATGCAAGGCAGTTTGATGGTAGCAAGGGGAATGGATCGAATGGTGACACATAGGAATAGTATGTGTTGCGGATATATACACTGGGACACACGAGTTACTGGGAAAGGACGACGAACCAATGCATTATTTGTGTGCAGGGTGGGGAGTTCAGCAATGTTTTTATTTAGTCCGCAGGACGAGAAGACGAGTTTGCCTCGAGCGAGTGCAAATATGGATAAGCAAAATATAAACAAGGCTAATAACACGAGGTATAAGATTATGTTTGTGGCAACGCAGACACGGCAGGCACATGGTTTGATATTGAAAGAGTATGCAGCAAATCAGGATTTTATGTCGAAAAGTGGTAATGAAGATGGCGGCGAGAAGATCGAGGACGATTCGCAAGCTGGAGATGGAGCTGCAAATGAAGCAGACGGTGATCAAAACTTGAATGTTGAGGCTCAAGCTGGAAATAAGGATAAAGTCAAACATGAAGCACAAGACGAGAAGAATGAGACGGAGACTAGAGCTGCGGTTACCATCACCACTTATCGTCGTGTGGGTTATGTTAGGTTATACTCCAAGCATGTAAATTTAACAAAGTTTCATGATGCATATAATTGGGCAGATCTAGAAGGATGGAAAAGGGAACATTTGGTGTTGATTTAAGATTTAGCATGAGAACTTGGATAACCATATACTTCAGTTGTAATCAATGAGTAACCTTTTGTAATGTTATTATTTTGTCTAATTTCATGATTAAGGTCGCTTAAGGTAGAATTTAATATATTTTTTCATGTTGTTTGCAGTGCCACTTGGCCGGTAATTCAACTTGAGCAAAGCCAAGCGACGTGAAGCGAGTAAATACAACAAAGACGGGACAATAGGGCTAGGTAATTTAACGAGGTCTTTCATTTCTAACTTTATAGATAGTTGAGTGCATACAATAAAACACCAAAATGCCATGCTTCTAGAACCAGTCCACTCTTCGAAAATCCAAGCTAATGTAAATGATCGTCTCATCTTCCATTGTTGGAATTCCATCATGTACAGTTGGCATGTCCATACAATTGTATGTATCTACAGCCCCAGTAAAGCATTCGTCCAATTCCAAACCCAAAATGCAAGAGAAGAAGAGAAGATAATTGAGGAACGCAAGGCCAGACTTATTTGCCAGACTTCTCAGCTCGGCGTCTTTGCCACTCTTGTTCCTCTTCACTATCACTCCCACTGTATACACTCCCAACATCATCATCATCCCCGACATCACCATCAACCAAATCCGCATAATCATATCCGTTCTTCTTAGAAGCAGGCTCTTCCTCTTCCTCTTCATCTGAAGGTGGCTCAAACTCGAAGTCTGCAAAAACTTTTTTCAGTTGGGTGTTTTCAGGATTGACTAAATCTTCGGCTCTATGTCCATCTTTGTTGCGAATTCGCGGATCGCTGCCGTCGCGGAGCATCATCTTGATCATTTCAAGACCGTCGTCCCAAACACTTCTTCCCATTTTATTGACTCGACCTTCTTTGTTGATCCATCTAACGGCGCAGTGGAGAGGTGTATCACCGATGCTGTTGCGGGGATCACATTCAAATCCGTCTTGACCGAGAAGCTCATCGATTATTTTATCTACGTGGAGAGTTTTATGTTAATAACATTGTATTTTCCTTTCCATCCTGGAATATTGAATTTAAGATCTGAAGATAGATGTAAAAAGTATCTTACCTTGTCCAAGAGAGGCAGCAACATGAGCAGCAACATTTCCAGCTTCCTTTTTCACAACCCGATCCTGGTATCTGTATGCCAAGGCGTGTGTATTCAGGTATTCAACAGCAGCTTCCGGGCTATCGAAGCGTTCTAAGACTGTGTTGAAGGTTCCAACCGAATTGTACTTTATGGCAGATATGAGTTGCTCATCAATGGGCGTTTCCTCCTCTTCGTAATGAACATCTCTCGGATCCGTCATTTTATCTGATCTTTCCCTTCTCTTCTCCTTTCGTCCAATGTACAACTATCGCAAACCTCACAATCCGAAGACCTCAAAAAAATTCAAATCAAATCACCAACAAAGCAGCGTACACCACTCCTTAACCTAACTCAAACAATCAAAGACCAAAGCCTCTGCTTCCCCAAATCCCGTATCCTCGTAACTTCGTAAATGCAAATCCTTCTCAAACTAAACTGTTCAGACGAAAGACAGATACGTCTCCTCTGTAAACGATAAAAATAATAAGACGAGAGAGAGAAAAAAACGTATCTGATCTGATCTGATCTGATCTTGCCAATCCTCCGTGTGTATGCACGTATGCACGTATGTATGTATGTATATCGTAGAAAGTGTCGAAAGTAGAAAGTCCAGCGCTTCTCCAAACACCCATCCATCAATCAATCCACTCCTCCAAACGAAACGCACCGACTCTGTAACAACAGGCCAACATTTCTCAGCCCAGAGCCTAGCATCCCTGTCCTTCGAGCCTGCCCCATCACGCTCAGCCGTGTGAGGGTAGGACCTATCGGTGGAGTTTTTAGGTTTGGGTCCGAGGACGCTTTTGCTGGGAGGGAGCATTGTGATTGGGGGGTGTGATGAGATGTGCGGTGTAATGGTGGGTTGAAATTATGTAAGCGAGTGAGCGGGAAAAAAGTTCCTATGATGAGGTTGATAAAATTGATAAAGAAAGAGCTTGAGATTATTTGACTTGTGAAATTGCGCGCGACGTTGAAGAAACAATACGATCCGGGATTTTGTGGGAGTTGATGATTGCAATCTGCGAGAGATTAGAAAGATCCGCAGAAATAAATTGAGAATAAAGGAAGAAATACCTATCCAGCACTTCGAAAACCCGATATCAATCCCATCCCATCAAAATGCTTCTCTGTACGTCCCTCCCCCTCTTTCCATCTCTCTCTCTCCCCAACTAACCTCTCTCACTCACCAGTCTGCCCCTCCTGCAGCAACATCCTCACCGTCTCTGTAACTCCTCATTCCTCGACCCCCACGCCCACCTCGACGCAAGATCTCACTGGCGCAAACCGTCTCGAATGTCTCACCTGTCCCTACCAATACATCCTCACCCGCTCCATCTTCGACCGCAAAACCTTTGTGCGCGAAGAAAAAGAAGATGTATTTGGAGGCAAAGATGCCTGGGCCAATGCCGATACTTATCCCAAACAATGCGCGAATAGTGAGTGTAATGGTATGGTGGCTGCGGCGAGGTTTGTGCAGATTCGCAGTGCGGATGAACCGATGACGGGATTTTATAGGGTAAGCTTTTTTTTGTTCATTACTTAGCTTGTTTGGAAATTGGAAGCAGGGATAGTGGTAGCAATCTGGGGAACGAGGGGAATTGGGGAGAGGAGGAGGAAAGGAAGGAGGTCGTGAATGATTATGATGAAAGAGGAATGAGGCTAACAATTTGGTTGTAGTGTATGACATGTGCAAACCAATGGAGAGAGAATTAGATGAATGGGGGCAGGTTTGCAGAATTATCTTTTGCTACGAAGTTGGGGGATGTCGACATGAAAAACATGTTAGATGTTTGTTCACGAAGGGATTTGTCACGCAGATCATGCTGGGAAACTTAGCAAATTTTTGAGCAGACATGGCGAAGGACATCTGGGCTGGGATTTTGCAATACGGCGTAATGGTTAATATACCTCGTGAGACAAGTAGTCTGCATTTGGGTGTAAATTATATCATAAAAGGCGTCGGATTCTTTTTAATTAAGAAGCGTTAAAGAAGAAGCTTTTACTTCTCAATCATACCCATTCCCCAACGCAACAACTTCGATGTGTTCAATTGCTTCGTATCTCAAACCTAGAACTCCTGGTATATCGCAAAGGACTTTTCCCCCATTGTCAATGAATTCGGGTAAGCCTGATGTCCCAACACTTCAACTCACTACTGGTAGACCTTCCTCGAGTACGGTATCGTGGTGGCCTTCAAGACGCGGATGAGCGCAAGTGAGATCTGCATCTGTCCTATAATAGGGTGTTTTGAAACAAGGCGAGCGAAAGCAAAGCCATTTGAAAACAGATGCTCTCGCAATCAAGTCTGATGGGTCTACCCATGGGACATTGATCACTTGTTGATTCTTCCGTTCCCTCTACTGCATCATTCCTTCTGCCACCTCTCTACTGCTGCCATATCCTCACTGGCGAGCATACTTATAATATCTATACTCAAACAATCCCTTCTGAAATTCTCATTTTGTAATAATTCTAGGTGTTTCAGACTAGGTCCAGGATAGGAGAGGAATTTGAGGTATGGGGGTTGGGTAAAGTATTGCAAATATTTGAGGTAGGCGATGAATGGTGGGGAGCTGAGGAGAGTACCAGAGGAGAGGGAGGCTAAGTGCATCAGGTAGTAGGGCGATGAGATGGCATTTATGAACTGAAGTGAGTTAGCAGGTGGGCAATGGGTGGATGGAGATTGGAAGGGGGAGCAATTAGGAATTGTAGAGGAAATTTTTGAATTTAAAAGGAATGGATAATCGAGCCCTCATATGCGGACATGCGCAGCTCTACCAATTCCATAAATCCCTTTGTCCCACAAGTCCTCTCTCCTAAACTCAAGAACACATTTGAATTCTCCAACATACCTCAAGTTCGATTTCAAACCTTGTAAATCCTCCAAATTTTGGTTCCTCATTCTCCCCAGATACTGAAGGGGTTACCCTGGTACCATCCTCCATCTTAATATCTTCCGGAGGGGAATTGATCGTCGTCATTTTGTTTTCACGTTGCGTATTATGGGTTGCGCAAGATGTACCTGTGAAGCAAGGGATGGTATTTGATGGTGCCCGGGGAAATCGCGAAATATGCGGATGTTTCGCGGAACCTTCGACAGTGGAACAGGCGGAACGGAAGATGAAGGTGTAATGACGTCGGTAAGGTTTGAATCAATGGAGAAATTGGATATAGGAGATAGAGTTCAGGCTTACGATTCGATGCGTGGGGATGATGGTATGATGGATGGAAGGGAATGATTTTGTTTGATTGTGATATACAAGGCTGTAGATCTAACTGATGAAGCTTTGATGAAAGCTTGATAAGGCTAGGCAGAATTTTGGCCTTACATTAATCGATTAGTCAGTGCTTATCTAACCACCAGGGGGTCAAGATTCTTTTTTAAATAATGAATTACAATTAATCTGATCTGTCAATGCTCGAGAAGAACTTTTGCATGAATCTGAGTTTTCGAAGACTTATCTAGATTCTTTATTAATGGATTCTCGTTGCATGAATTATGAAGCTGTCATACATTACACTCTATCTGTCTCGTCGGTCTTATAAAATTAGACCTTTTGCCCATGAAATTTTGTTGGTGCTTTGAAGCTTAAAATGAGGAACATCAGGAACATCAGGAACATCAAACTAACTAACTAGAGTGGAGACTTGACTCTTGTACCTGAAGCTATCATAGGTCCCCTATTCCCAACCCCTCTTGAGATCTTTCCTCCCTGGCGATGCTGGTTAGTAGATCCACTTGGATGTTCAGAATCTCCAGTTCTCGGCATTGGGCATTGCTGTCAAATGTGTGTGTTCACTGTTCACTGTTCAGTCTAGCCCTTACAAACAAATTTCGGCAATAGAAATATTGATGAGTGGAAACTTGAAAGGAATCGATCCATTTATTCTGTATTGAATGAATTTGAATCTTCAACCCAAAAGAATCTAGAATCATCAGATATGTCCAATTCTTGGCACCATCAATTGATGATGGATACACTTGGAACGCTACTCTTCCAAACGACCTTTCACGGTCTTGAGATATGTACACCAAATGGCAAACCCTCTAAGGTCTGATAGCAATACGTAGTAGTGTCTGAGGTAGGTACGATCTTGACTTGCTACTGGGTACCATCAGCCGGTTACTTTGGAGACGGTCAAGTTGAATGACGCCAAACTAAACTCATCCAGGCAAGTGTTCCTCCACAGACTCTCGGTTGGGGTGGCTCAGAAGACAGTGGCGTTTGGCAAATACTACTACTATGACTGACTCTGGGTAGTGCTTTTAATAGACTCTTATGTCTCTTCGACAGGCGGGACTATTTTCGAGCTATTCAGCCCAAAAGATATAATCAATCCTTCCTCTGACAAAATCGATATTGGGATTCCTCCGTGGGATCTATAGAAAGGTACCTACGACAGCTCAAGCGCAGGTAGTTAGTTAGTAGAGTGATAGATTTCTCGTGTGTGCCATGTACTTTATATCGGCAGCTCCTTTTGAGGATGCATTCGGATTTGTACAGACTGGTACCTGCTTTTAGGAGTTGAGGCTTTATTAAAAGCAAGGTTTGCATTATTTTGGAGAGATTTTCATATTTCGTTCGGATGATGGTATCAAAAGATTAGCAAGGTTTCCCCGAACTTTTCAAGTAGCTTCCTTGTCCGGATCCAACCCCCTTCTAGAAAAGGTTATATTGGCATTGGATATTGATGCCAAAAGAAAAGTACAACATACATAGGGAATAGGTAGGTGATGAGGAAAAGGTAATGAGGAAAGAAGATTGAAGAGATATAAGATTCAAGGGAGTGGAGGATGAAGGGAGGTAGGTATTAGTACTAGGTAGGTATTAGATATCCATAAATCAATACTTTGTAATATCTATCAGATATTAGATGTTAGATATTACATATTACATATTAGATATTACATACTACATACTACATACTATATACTACACACCAGACAATTACCAAATATAGAAGGAACTGGTGGAAGTGTGATTCAAAAGGTCAAGAGATACCTTCATCAGCTGCTCATCTGATGTTTTGATCCATTCATAGGTAATTTACCAAAAAAGGAAGAAAGCTTCTTCTTTCCCTCTCTTCCCCTCTATCATATCAGAGGTATCCAATACTACCTACCTACCTACCTACAAAAACTTCATCAATATTCCATCTTCTCTTTCACTCCAACATCACCCGTACAGTATCTACACAACTTCTTTCAATAACCTCATTTACCACGGCACTGTACAATACACATCAACAGTAGAAAATACTACATAGGAATATCAATCGTTCTTCGCCCAACTATCATTCTCATACCACCAAAGAAGAAAGTTGCATTGTCATATCAAAAAGACATCGTCATCGTACCAAAAAGAAGTTTGCCAACCTACCTACCTACTCTTCTACCCGTTTGGATAATTTGAAATACATACCTACCTGGGTAGATTCTGTTGATCGAAATCATTAAAAAGGGAATAGATTACCTTCACAGGGACGATTACAATATACGCAATCACATCACGTCACATCACACCTACAATCAGATTATCATACCTACCACGCCTACATAATCATTGTTATTGAAAAGAGAAGAGAGAGGAAGAAAAAGGACAAGCACCGAGGATTCCGCATAAAACTTCCGCGTCTCCCCTCCTCCTCGTCGTCCTCCCCTTCTCGTCCTCTATCCCTCTATCCCTCGATCCCTCGACCTCTTCATCTCCTTCATTCCAACGAAAGAGGAAACGGTCAAGTTTATACATCCATACATCCATACAAGCTACACCCTCATTCTCACTCATTCATCCTGCCGCTAATTAATCAAACATCTGGAACTTCAAACTTCATTTCGCCCTTCATTTGCTTTTCGATTCAAACCCCCACAACTTACAAATCCACATTATTATCGACTCCTGAACAATTTCAATCCTCGGTTCCCTACTTATACTTTGCAGATTTGACCAGGAATTTGGTAGAGAACCACAATTACTAAATTGGAAGATCGTCAAGCAGTCGGAATCGAATCCACACTTGACACAAATTCCTCGAATCAAATTCGGTTCTGAATTCAATTTGAGCAGAGGGTATCAAGGGAGACGAACGGGGATATAAGATTACGATTGTACATCAAGCATTTTCGCATCTCACATCCTGTCCCATCGCTATCCACATTTCTTTCCCTCCCCCTCCTATCCCTTCCTTACCATCTTTGAGGTTTCCCAAAGGATTTTAATTTGTTTGATTGCGAGCAATTAATCCTGAGACTTAAAGTGAAAGGACCAAGGAAACGAAGAGAGGACGACACGACGCCTTTCTCGAGCTTAAGGGGGAACGGAATATCAGATCAATCAATATTGACATTAGCATTGATATTGGTATCCAATCGATTTTACACGTCTCAAACACAAATTTACACACCACAGAGGTAGTGAGTGCTTGCTTAGGCCTCGGTCGCTAAGGAATTCACCGTTTATCCTGACACGGACCAAAATCGATCGGTCTGTTCTCTTTTACCTTGCTCACCCGGGCGGTTTCCTCTTGATTCAATTACAGTACGATATAGTACAGTACTCGTGTACAAACAAGTTGCTCTAAACGCGGGAGAGCTAGAGGAACCAACAAGATTCATCAAACCCATCTCATCCCAATCTCCAAGAAACGGATTCACTCTTCTAAATCAGTCAACCTCCTACTACCTTACGAACAACCAGTCATCGTCATCCATCGCCCACATACTTCTTGTTTTCCCTGGACTAGAAAGAAAGCTATCAAACTTTCAAACATCCCTCAAAAAGAGGAACGAACGAATAAGAAAACTTTATTTGCCTTCGACACCAATACAACGACGTCAAATTGAAAAATAAACCGGATCACATTCCCCTGATTCCTTTAATCAACGCATCACAACTTATTACAGTAATTAATTCTGGGATCTGTGTCGTCATCACAATCACTGCCACAATGTCGTTAAGCTCTATCCAACCAGACTTTGATGGTAAGTTCAAATCATTCTTGTAATCTATGCGCCGCAAGTCTGCGACGGCAAAACTGTCATCCCCACTTATCACGGCTGGCCTGTATCAAGTTGGATGTTCAGCGTTTCACTCTTCCTATCATTCCCCATCAACGACAAGCATGAATCCGTAGACTGACATTTGAATCTTGTTTTCTAAACAGGCAATCGATCGCCTGGACTTTCAGCCAATCTATCATCCAACAACCCCTTTAGAAATCGAGCCGTGTCTCCAGCTATGCCTTCTTCTACCCAACGTTCCCCCCGAGAACCTCCTCCAAGACCTCTATCACGAAATCCATTTCTCGATTCTTCAACTACGAATCAAACATCATCAGGCACCATGGCATTTTCTCGAACAAGTCCGACTTCATCAGGGCCAGCTTTAACAGGAAACGCGGCGGATTTATTTGTACGTTCACCTCAAACCATGAATACCCTTCTCACAACCTTGTTGGCTAGACATAAAGCCTGAAGAACACAAGAACACACTTCGGGAGGAACTCAACCTACAAGAAATTTGGCTACATGAGAAAGTATCGCTGACGTTAACAATGCAGGACGAACTCACAATCGGAGATAAACCCGTTCCGAATAGAAATAACAAACCGGGGATGGTGCGCTCAAACACAGGCACAAACCGACCACAGGCAGAGAACATCCCTCCGGGAAGGCCATCGGGACATAGACCAATGAGGTCACAGGAAGAGGCAATGCGTGCGAGAAAAGCAGCTGGAAAGCCATCTTCAAGCAGCAGGCCACGCGAAGAAGAATTGGATATTTTTGCCGACCCCAACGATAGCCCAAGACAAAGAACAAGACGCAACTCCGACACATCTATCATGGAACGAAAGCCCAAATTACTTGATCCAGAAGATCAACGTAGACGCTTAGAGAAAGAAAAGAGACATCGTGATCGTAAGCGCGCTGCAGAAAAGACCAAGAAGAAGGCACCTCTCGATGTTATTGATCAACTAGACGCCACCAGCATTTTCGGAATTGGCAGTAAGTTGAGAAAATTTATCATTCTCTATCCAATAACACTACTAATTGACGTACAGCATTCCATCATGATGGGCCATTTGATGCCTGCAACCCAGACCGTAATCGAGCAGGAAGTCGTCGTGCACCAATGCAAGCCTTCGCTAAAGATTCAGCCAACAATTCACTTGGTGGTGGTGGACCTCTGAACAAGAAACCTGATCATGCAACTTTTATGGGCAATAATGACGCAGAAGCACATCTTGATTATTCCCGTGGGGGAGATAAAGTCGATAATTTTGAACCTTATACTCATCGCCCGGGAATGCCTAGCCGCACAGAATCTGCCATTGAAAGTGCAACCACACGTGTTGAGCCAGTTCATGGTGAAGAATCCATGGGCCTGGGAACCTCTACTTTCCTTGAAGGTGCTCCAGCCTCTCGTTCGGCTGTTCAAAAGAACCAGAATGAGCAATTTGGTATGGATGGCGGGCTATCTCGAAAGAAGTCATTGGCACAGAAGATCCGCGGCATCAATAGCCGGCGCGATTACGGACCTTCTGGTAGAATGACTAGCCCAGAAGGCATGTACAACGCCACTTCTCCAGACGGATACACCCCCGTTGGAAGTAGGACAAATGAAGCCAACCCATTTTTCAATGAATTTGGCAAGGGCGACGATACTATCAAGGAGGAAACAGTCACATTTGCTGAACTGCCACCAAGACCCGGTCGCTCTCGTGCACCTTCTAACCCCCCAGGAATCGAAAGGCGTGTCACTAGCGATAGCATCGGGGATTCTTCCAGACCTCCCGTATCCAATGGTGGGGGAGGGTTCTTGTCTAGAGTTAAGAGTTTGAAGGGAGGGCCACGAAAGCCAAGGGTTGAGAATAAGCCATTGCCAACACCAACACCTCAGCTACTTTGAATGAGCAATCGACATCAAGTTCGTCGTTCGTCTCTTTATTACACTCTAGATCATAAGGACCTAGACGCCTGTGTCTGATTTAACATTCATCGAGCACGCATAATTACCACATTTTGTTCTCCTTTCCCTGCACTGCTATTACCCTTCATGTGGTATATCACTCTTACCTAACGTCCCCGAGTTTGGATATGGTACTCTGCGTGAACTTTCGGAATAAACACCTTTTCTTCATATTTTTTCACTTGAGCTTCGACTTTGGTTCTTACATCATGAAGAATCTTTCTTTTCTTGAATTATTGAGGGGTCGAATGGCCCACAAATTGTTATTTGATTTCATAGGCGTATGGGAGTACACATGAACAACCCCGTAGCTCGAGGGGGATGAGAAAGATAGGAAATCTTTTTTAATGCCAGTGAGATTTGAGGACTGGAAAGGGTTTTGAGAAACACGGTTAGGGTTAGTGACTGGATTGAATGGACTCAGATGTGACTCTTCTCGTGAACTTGGTTAGAGGTTAGACGGTCTTGAGGAAAGAGACAGTTGTTGGAGTGAAATCGGGTACGAGAGTAATGTAGACTCTATGGTCAAAGGTTAAGGGGCGGATAAGAGCGGCAGGGGTGGGATTGTTGGGTAGAAAGGAGAAACCTAGTAGTAGATGACAATGCACACGTACACTCAATAAATTGAATTGATTGGCAATTGATAGGACTTTGTGTTCAATGAGTGTTGCATGGGTTGGTGAGGTGTGAAATGAGATTATCTATGTTTGCGACGCAATTAATTTGTCGATGAGAGTCAAATGAGTGCTATTGAGCTGGCTAGTACTAATTATTCATTGTGTATGGATTCGGAAGATATAAGGAATGAGATTTGGACTTTTGGTTAGCAGGGAGGTTGATTGTTGTTTTCTTTGAGATAGATACTTCTGAGGTATGTTTATTTTTGGTTGGGCAGAGGGATGAAGGATTGTGGATGTTGGGGTATGTTGGGGTATGTATACTGAGGGCTTTGATAGGGGGTGTGATGTATTCGGGTAGAGGGTTGGGATGGGATGGTGGTGTTGGGGGGGTTATGGTGTTGTGGGGGTGTTGTGGTGGTATTATGGAGGAGGAAGTGGAGGAGGAAGTGGAGGAGGAAGTGGAAGTGGAAGTGTGAGTGAGTGTTGAGTTGTGTAATTGATGAATGTCAAGTTCTTAAGTTCTCAAGTTTCCAAGTGAGATATCTGATAGGGTTATGTGTATATGGACTTTGAGGGGGAAAGATCATGATATCGGAATGGAATGGGAATGGGAATGGTTTTGGTTTTGGTTTTGGTAGAGCTAAGAGGATATGATTTCTTTGGGGGAGTGGGTCGCTTGTGAGGCTAACATTTATCAAAGACATAGGATCTATGACTTGGACGTTAATTGCTTGGTGTCACCAATACCTTTTACTAGTGTAGAAGCACACGTAATTTCTGCGTCGATTATTATGAATATGTGTATATTCTACTCATCGAGATAAGAAAACTAAAAAAACGGATATCTTATGTACGCATCTATGAAAGGATATCCGACTCCGACTCCTGAGCATCGTACACCACTACGCTATTCCCTATACCACGAAGTCTGACCCACAGGCTCCGAGGCATAATCCCACTCAGTTCCATTCGACGAACCCGAACCCGAACCCGAAACCGATTCCGTATCCTCCGACTTTTCTTCCTCTTCCTTTTTCTCTTTCGGCGGCTTGGGATACTCCTTTCTGAAGAGCAGAAAAACGATGAGAAGAGAAGCGAGATACCAGAGCCAGAGAGAATGCACGAAGAGCATGTAGAGATTCCCGATTTTGGAATAGGATTTGGGGATTCCGCCGCCGGCGATTCCGCTGCCGAGGTAGGAGGCGTGGGTGAGGCAGGAGGCGGGGATGCAGAAGATGGTTAGTCCGGTCTGGGGGGAGGTGGAGAGGTGGATGTTAGTTGTTTCTTCTTCTTCTTCTTCTTCTTCTTCTTCTTCTTCTTCTTCTTCTTCTTCTTCTTCTTCTTCTTCTTCTTCTTTTTTTCCTTTCGGAAAAGGGGGTGGTAGGGGTAGATAGACGGAAAATACGTACAAAGCACGCGAGCATCAGCTTTTTGAAACTTTTCTTGGGCACTTTTTCTCCCGGGTCGAAGTGTCGATTAAACCATCGCCACCAGAGATATATCGTGAGCGCGACTGCGTGACAGCCAACGTAGTAGAAGGCGAATGCGATGGTCATGAGCGTGTAGAAGGTGGCGAGATCGCTGGGTTCGGCTTGTTTGTTGGTTGTGGCGACGATGTAGCCGAGGGCTGGGAATTGTCAGGTTGGGTTAGTTTTATCAAAAAAAAAATTCGTGCGTGGGTGGTTATTCATGATGTAGTGATATAGTACAAGAATCTGGGAATCAGAAATGAGAAAATAGCTTACGGTTGAGATCTAAATGACACCCCAATCCATCTTTCGCGTTGGGGTTTTTGTCAACCCCATTGTCGTTTTGGTCGCCGGTAGAAACGCAGTATTGGAAGATGTAAATTTTATACGTGATACTTGGGTTTTCAATGTCGAGAATCGAGTTATTTCTTCCCGGGAATTGGTAGACGAGGGAGAGGAGAATGAATATGATGACGATGATGGAGGTGGCGGTGACGGTGCAGAGACCGCGGTAGTATCTCCGGGCAGGACCTTGGCGTTTTTCTTTGGCGGTGCGAAGCGATTTGAACATAATAGGTGATATTTGAGTGTTGTTTGTTGGGAGTTGGGAGTTGGTATTTGGGTTATGATATTTATGTTTGATGAGAGAACTTGCTTGCGAAAGTGGAAGTGGTAAAGGAACAGAGAAGAAAATGATAAAGGGAAAACTTTATAAGACTTCCTTGAACTAGACTCTATGGATCGCAATTCATGAATCATGAAATGGTATGACTTGTATTTAACTTCTATGTGACTCCTCCGAGTCATCTTCAAAATTCCTCTTGAAAATTCAACTAAAGAAATGATTTGAAAATTCGTGTCACGTATTTGACTCGACCGACTGACTCCTCGAGTCATTCTATATCTAGGAGTTCAACCAAGAGCTAACGTAATGAAGAATCATAGTATTGCCGAGATGCAATTTTCAACCACCAAATCCTCTAAGTTATAGACTTTCTATATCCCTTTCTTGTTCTCGCTTCTCCTTGTTCTTGCGTTCTGCAGACTGTGGTGGACACATGCTGTCCTGCATGGGATCCGACAGAGGCATCGGCATCGGCATTTGCGCACCATAGCCATGACCATAATAACCCTGATCCTGCATACCGGGACGAGGATATGTGGGCACACCATATTGGGGTGCACCACGAGGAGGCATATTGTAATCATCATCACTGGACTCCGAATCAGCAGGTTCATCTGGAGTACTACATACTTTAGTGTTGCCGTTTAGAGTTTCGTTTTCTTTGAGCTCGTGTGCATCGGTTTCTAGGGCTTTGAGTTGTCGCTTCGCGCGGCGACGTTTGATGCAACCTGAGATGGGGATGATGAAGATGTTGAGAAGGAGGATGATCCAGAAGAGATGGATGATGATGAGGTAGAGGAAGCCGGGTGTGGTGGATATGTTGAGAGTGGATTTGGAATGTTCCATGGTGTGATTGAGGATGTCGATGGTTTGGTAGCAGAGATAGGTTTGCAGTGCTGCAAGGGCGGCGAAACAACCTGTGAAGATCTGAGGGGTGATATGTTAGGAGCTTAATTTGAAATGAGTGAGTTCTGTAGGGGGGGAGAGAGAATGGGCAACTTACGGACAGCACGAGCATAAGTGTCTTCTTATGTGGCGTAGCGGTAGCACCGAACCACCAGATGAAGAAACTGGCAAATATGATTAGAAGAAAAATGGCGGCGACATAAGAGGCGAAAGCTGGATACGCGTAGTTCTGAAAGAGATCGTTGATCGCCATGATAGGACCAGAGGCATCGTATCCAGGAAGAGGGGGTTTAAAGGTTGAGTTGAGGGAAGGGAGAATGTGATAGGTTAATGCTGTGTTAAAGAAACGTATGTTAGACATGCGTTTTATGACAAGAAAAGGATATTGGGGGTACATACCTTGTCTTGATTGATGACAACTATCCGTTATGTTTACAAGATTGCCAGCTCCAGCAGCAACACCCGAGATACAATAATACCATAGATATATCTTATAGGTAAGATTATCTCCACTTCCATTTGTTGCATTCATCCCTCCACTAACTTTACTAGGAGCAGTGGATGTAGTAGTGAGCGTAAGGAGTTGAAGAGCTCTTTGATGATAGCATACAAGAGCGAGACCAGGAATCATAAGAAGAGTGGTGATCGTAAAGACGCTGAGGGTGGAGAAGTACGAGACACAGTTTTTTCCTGACTGCCAGATTCCTGGCTTGCCTCCTCGCACATTCTCTTTGGGAGCGGCACCTTCTGCTGAGGATGAATTCAAAGCGACCCTTTCCTCTTCGTCTTGGGCTTTATCGGCCATAATTCAAACTGTTATATCTGTTTGACTATTCGAAACTGATTCCTGGGGATGAAAGATGGTTATGTGAGAGAAGATACAGTTGGATAGGATTATGAAGACTTATGGCAAGGAGCTTTAAGTCTACACAAATCATCTTAAATTTCGTATTAAAATGAATCGAGAAACTACAAACTGATGTTATTCACTTCTGCTCAATCTAAAACCCATAGCATTAATGCACATATGTGCAGGTGAATCAGGAAAAGAAAGGCATCCTGAACGTGAAATTTCGATTAGAGGAAAAGGGGCTGAGCAGAAGGTGCCATATCTCGCAATGATGGGATACTCAGCGAGAAAAGACATCTCCTACTGTTTGTAACAAAGAGTTTGATTGGATGAGATGTACCATCAAGTCTCTAACTCCAAATCAAGTCATACACCCCTCAAAATTCACTTAGTCCCATAATCCGCACTCGCGAGTTCATGTGGGCATGTGACGATGAAGAGATTGATATTGAGAAATTCTAAGAAAGGGAAGAATGGCTGTCATTGCTACACAGTGTAAAAATAGAAATAACCAGCAGGGAGGCTACTTTCGCGTCAAATTCAAATAAATGGAGGCCCTGCTTCATTTTTCTCTGTGTACACACTATTTGATTGTATCAAGCTTTTGAGAATAGGTCTTGAAGTATGAACCCGAGTCCATGTGCAAATATAGCTTTGGATGGATGGAAAGATCACACGTGCTGTGTTGGAGTATCTAAAATCATGAAATGTTATTTTCAGGAAACTTCAAAAAGGATGACAATTTTATGGTACTAAACTTCAAACTCTGCAAATAGATGGGCTGATCCTTTCTTTCTAGGAACGAGAACCACAACAGCAGTATTTATGTATATGCTCCCAAATCCAATTCTCATCTTCAACCCTCCAGATGTTTTTCCAGCTAAGCACAACAAAAGCACACAAAGTAACACCACTAATTATTGTAGTCAGACAGCTTACAAATAAGAGCCAAATTCCCCTTACCACCAATATTTTGTTTGACGACGCAGTTGCAGCAACGGGGTTCAAGATTTGTGAAGGCAATTGGGAGATAATTGTCGTTGCCAGTATGAGAAATATAAAGGTGATCTAATTGCACATCTGGGTTAGAACGTAGTGTCAACAGGAAATGGAAGTTGGGTGTCTAACAAGATTGCAAACCGATAGAACGATACATTGTTTCCTGATTGTGGAGAGCTTAAATATGAAGATGATGGGCACTGAAGCGATTATTGACATTGTCGACAAAAGGAAACATGTCAAGAGTCTATTCTTTCCTATCTCTAGAACCCTAGAAACCAAGTCTTGCATTCCCGGTGGGATAATTTGAGGTAATATAACTGTAGAGTCGTCAGGTTTTATCATTTTGTGATTTCTTCGAAACCAAACAAGATACTTATATCTGACATACCTGAAGGCTGCACGGAGCATGTAATATTATGTGCTGCCGACCCAGACTGGCCGTGAACAAGGCAGGTTTTCGTTACGTAGAATTTTACATGATCATGAGTGGAGGGATTTGTTTCGCCGCTCTTGATACCATCTTCTAATTTGAGAATAAACAGGCCAGAAAGCGACACGAACATGAAGATCGTAATGAACAACGGTATGACGAGACAGTACAGGACTAGCCCAGCAATCCTGATTTTATGACGGCGCTGAAACAAGTTGAGCTGCATTTCGCGTATGTTGAGTGCTTTAAGGTTTGAAATTTAAAATGTGATAGGTGGATTTTTGTAGTTTGAAGAATGAGAAATGAGATGCCAACGTACATGTACGATATAATGGCGGTGCGTACACCCCCGTGGTACGAATAAGTGATTCACGACTTTCGTTGCGTAGAGTCATTCGACAACCAAAGAGTCATCATAATGGTGGCACAGCGATTGCCCATTATACAATTGCCCTTGCAAGCCTTAAACCATTAAGGATACATGGCATTCACCTAAAGCAAATTACCAAAATCCTGCTCAAAATCCTGCTCAAAACAACGAGTAAATCAAGGGGTCTGGAATAGGTATGATCAGATCTGAACGGATACGTTTTATTATTTGCCTTCTGAAATGTTGATACGACCCTGACGCCCTTCACATGCAATGTGGAATGAAAAGCAAGAAACGATATATCAGTAAGATCTTTTGCACTATGATTGATTGATATTTATCAAGAAGACTTCTCGAGATTTAGACAAGTAACGGTATATAAGAGGATGAGTCAAGTGAACCGTGAAATCCACCTAGGTAGACGCACAAATCGATTGCTTCATGCAGCTATTCCACCGCAAGTCAGCTTCAGAACGAACATAGCACCTCAACACTTCACGAGAACGAACTTCGATTCTCGAAGTCAAGAACTGTTTCTTGTTTCTTGTATCACAAACAAAAACATCTACGACGATGTACATGTTGCTGCTGAAATGATACAAGTGGCTATGCTTTGAATCCAAGCTTTGGGATACATTGATACTGACCTTTGGTTAATGAAAGATCGGCAAGAGTGTAGAAATAGGTGACGGTTAGTGTTATAAACCAGGGGTGTGGGAAAGAACTTTTGTGATAAAAGTAAGCCTGTTGCAAAATCTTGGTGTTTGAATATGGCTCTGAACTCTGTGCTCATTCTTCACTAAGAGAATGTTTACTACCATATCAAATCTCTTTAATTAATATTTGTACAATCATCCACTTAGCAACGGACTTAACTCATGCCATCTTGTCTCAGCCAGCTCCAAAACATGCTTCATCTCATCCTTTCCCACAGTAGTTCCACCGACTTTTGACAGGCCCAGTATTTTTGGCTTGTCTGCTTTGCAATCAACAACCATCGTGATTGACTCGTCACACAATCCCTCCTCAAATGTATCCGGATCTGCCAATATCCAGAATTTCTTATCCTTTCCGCGCTTTTGCTCTTTTGCCCTGAATACTAAAAATGTGACAGCGATTGGCAGTCCTCTCAAAGTTAATTTTTTCGACAATGATACCTCGTCATCGCAAAGTATCATCTCCCGATCCGCGTCCCAATGTGCCTTTGGTAATCTCACGTTCCTCAAAGCAGATACAACAGCGGCCCAAGCAGCATCAAGTGGATTTCCATCGAGCGAAATGAACAAAATGTCGATGTATAAAGTCCAAAATGCCTTGACTTCGGGTTCGACAGACTCTGGTTCTTCATCATCTTCCATTCTATCCTGCTCGCTCAGATCTGGTGATTG